TTTTAATGTTTATTTTTTTTATTTTGAGAGAGAAAAAGAGTGCGCATGAGTGGAGGAAGGACAGAGAGAGGGAGAGGGAGAGAATCCCAAGCAGGCTCTGCACTGTCAGCCCAGAGCCCGACGTGGGGCTCAAACCCACAAACTGTGAGATCATGACCTGAGCTGATACCAAGAGTCAGATGCTTAAGCCACCCAGATCTGAGCCACCCAGATGCCCCATTGCTTTTTATTTTAAAGGAGTGACTTATTGCTTCAGTTTAAATAACAGATGTTTTGGAAATAGTTACAAAGTAACCTGCCAGTTCTAACAAGCAAGGCACAGTTATTCCATTCTCAATTATATTATCAGTTATATAATCTCTAACACTACAACTCTTGATTCAGCAATACAGTAGTTCAAGAAGTATTATGTAGTGATGCATATAATAAACACAAAATATACTGAACATAAACATTTAACACCCTCCATGTCAGCTTAGCAAGTTAACATCACTCCATGACATTTTGCCCATAGTTATAACCAAAAGGTTCACAAACAAACAAATCTCAGGACACCTGTGTGCCATTAGCAACCTCTATTTAAAGGAACGTAAGAATTTACAAATTTCAAAAGCTTGCTTGACAAGCAACAGATAACAACAACAAATAACAGTAACTCGCTCATCTTTTGGACACCATGTAAAATCATTATGCAGAGATTTCAAAGAGGTCACCATGAAGCAGTCGCAGGTGTTTCTCTGACGTTGGGTCTTCTTCCTCCGTAATTCATACAGAGGGATGAGTCTGAGGAATTATTTTTTCTTTGGTCTTTCTGTACCCAATAGATCCAGAACCACATATCCACACACTGCACTGCCCATTATGTGGAGGCAAGGGTTTTCTGTTCCAGGAGGAGAAGGTTACAAAACTCATGGTTTGAAAGCATAGATCTGCATCATAAGATCTACCTTTTACTAAAAACAATGCTCCCCAGTAGTACAACTAACATATTCTCTTACCAGGTTCCCAGAAGCAAGAAGCCAGAAAGTTAACCTAAGGTCAGATTTCCACAGAGACAGAGAAAAGGTCACGTCAACCCTTTTTTTTTTTTTTTTTTTACAGTCTTTCCCTCCATAATGTATGTTCAACCCAATTAGCATACAAATATACAAGGAATACATATATGATCATTAGGATTTGGCTTTTTCCATCAGACAGCAATCTTCCCTTCATCTCTTTACCAATCCATTTACTGTATACCCAATTAATCTTAATAGAGCTCCAATTATCTTTATCCTGGAGATGTTGGATTTTTACATCAACCAAGAGTACATGATAGTTGAACCAATCAAATCTTGGTGCTGCAAAATTTTTATCCAGTTTAGCAAAAATATCCCCCTTTAAAACATTCCATACTTAGCATGTCTCAAAGTGAATTTTTAAATCTCTATGCCAAAATCCATTCTAACCATATGTTAGTTTTTTAAGATCTCAGTTAAGAGCAACAGTTTTTAGTTCCTCAAGTCAAAACTCTTGAGTCCCTTGGATCCTTTCTTGTCACGGCCCACATCAACCCTTTGGGAAACCATGGGGGTGACCAAGTTTGAAAGCATAGCCACATCCCAGTCCTAAATGAACACAGGTAGGCCCAAGTCCTTCTGGCTTGAACTTGTCAACATTTAGATTTTGTCATTTTACCTCTAAAAATAGCCTGTCATTCTCCTAGAGAACATTCCACTTTCCTGGTGTCTGTCACTGGACAGCAGCAGAGGGTTCGGGTTCTATTCCAGCACCGGTTGGTGCCAGCTGAGTTGCAGAATAGTTGAGGTTTCGTTGCTGTCGTCCTCTTGTGTTGGAACTGAACTCTCCAGCAGACACATGTTCTTCAGATCACTCCCTCACACGGGGACTGGGGGATGAAGGGCCTTTAAAGCTTTTCCCAAGGCCATGGCTGAAGTCAGACGCCCTGTGGTCACACACCCAGGAGCACATTGGGGGACTTTGGGGTGACTGGGAGAGAGGTGGGCAGGGAGCACTTCCTCATGCTCCTCCCTGCATCTCAGATGCCTATGCCCTAGGTAGGCACGTGGCACCCCATTTGCTTTTTTGAAACTCTCCTGGAGTGGGCAGAGGGCTCTGAGCCCCCCAGTATAGATGGGAGCCCGAGTGGGGGCTGGCACTATCTCTGCTGCTCACTGCTAGATTCAAGCCCCAAATGTGGGGACTATACGCTTCTAGAAGGGCTGCATCTATCTCTTGCAGCTCAAAGGCCCTCCTTGTCTTTCTCAGCTTCTCTCAAGGTGAACAGACTGGGTTGTCTCTTTTGGAGTCTCTTTCCCACACAATACACAAATATGGCTTCATTCCAAATGGTTCATTTATTCCCTTGGATGTAACTCCTGGCACAGAGAATGGACACTGAAAAACAAACGGATGTGCTTTCCCCACCCTTTCTCTTTCTTGGGGCATCAGGTTAATCTGTTGGGAAGATTAATGGATTTGTCCTCCCATGGTACAGATTCTTGCCTTGTTGCAATGAGGCTTTTTTTTTTTTTTCCTGTTCCATGGCTAATGAAGCGGTCATTCCTAGGCACCCCGTTAACCTCTTCAAGGACACATCTAGATTATCTATTCCCATGGTTCTTCACTAGGGAGTGCATGCTGTCTTCTTTTGGCCATCCCAGAATGTTCTGAGCCCAGTTGTAATTTCTGTTGGATCAACTGTGCCAGGGAAGGCAAGGGAGTTACCTCAATTCCAAAGATCTCTGGCAAAACATACAAGCAGATTGAAAAGAATCAGGAGTTCCAGGGATGCTAGGGGCTCCCATAAGATGTTTCTCTTACCTTTCTGGTGGTAAATGACGTGTTTTCTGACAGTCCAGAGAGAAGTTGGAAAAGGGTAAAAGGGGTACTGTTTAACATTTTAAGTTTATTTATTTTGAAAGAGAGAGGGTGAGTAAACATGAGCAGGGGAGGGCAGAGAGAGAGAGGGAGAGAATCCCAAGCAGGCTCTTCACTGTCAGCACAGAGCCAGACATGGAACTCAAACTCACAAACCACGAGATCATGACATGAGCTGAAGTCAGATGCTTAACCGAGCCACCCAAGTGCCCCTGACTAAAAAGGAATTTTAAATACATGCAAAAATATGAATTTCAAAACCGTGTTGTGTGAAAGAAATCAAACATTAAAGAGTATGTACTACACGATTCCATTCATCTGAAATTCAGCAGCAGAAGAAAATCTATAGTGATAGATTATCAGAAAAGTGATAGCCCCTTATACGAGGGGCTGACTGGAAATGGACCTGAGGTAATTTTGTTGGGTCCTCCACAATCAGGCCCGACCTGCCTAGTACTCTTTCCTGTTACACCAGGGTCCCTGTTTCAACTAGGGAACTTAGATCTCTCATGTCCTAATACCACCCACCCTGTCCGCGACAGTCCCCTTACTACCGTGAAAGTACATTGTCCGCTGGGCTGTTAGAAGTGCTCCTATTATACAGTCTACAAATACTAGTTACAATACTAGTTACAGGTACCTTTTTAGAGCCTTCCCATTCCTTTCTACCCCACTGTACCATAACTTAGCCCTTTACTTGATAGTGTTTTAAGGTGCACATATGCCTTTTGGTCCTAGCGATCTTGTTATTTTGAGAGTGTGTGTGAGCAGGGGAAGGGCAGGAGAGAGAGATTATCAAGCAGGTTCTCTGTACTGTCAGGGCAGGGCTGGACGCGGGCTCAATCTCATGAATCATGAGATCATGACCCAAGCTGAAATCAAGAGCCAGATGTTTAACCGACTGAGCCACCCAGATGCCCTGGTCCTAGCAATTTTCATAGAGCATTTTCTCCATTTTCATCTTGCCATCCAGTTCAAGTGCTAAGTTAGCACTTAATGGATAAACATTTGAGAAATGTTCAATATTTCATCATGTCTCATTCCTAAATAGCAGGAATGTTAGAGACAGCTGCATAGATGGACTGGATATATTCAGTCTATCTAATATTTTATCACAGAAGACCTATTTGTTGGGCCCTATCCTCCTGGCAAAGAAGGCTTTGTTTTTAGGAGCTTTGACACAAATCGAAGTACCTGGGAAATGAATGCCTTGACAACTTCAGTGGTATTTCTCGGGGACTCGAGGGATTGACGGGCAATAGAAGGGACTAAGAAAATTGTAATTGAATATAACTTTTCATTGCTCTGCTCCTTTCATTTTGAAATGTGGGTGATTGCTACCAACCAGCAACCATTCTTCATCTAGCACACATTTCCCCTCCAGGAGCTTATGAGAAAATAGCCATCTTGTTTTATAATGTCAGGATAAAATGAGAGTATCAACTAAAGCTAAAGCTGTGAGGAAACGAAGAAAAACTGGGGAAAAATGAACGAAGATTTAGTGAAAAAATACACTGGAGAATAAAAAGGGAAGTCTATGGGATACAATTGTAATTGGTCCTGTTTTTTTCCATAATTGATTAATTAACCAGTATTTCATTGAGGATCTTCACATCTGGATCCAAAAGTAACATTGGGTCCGTAAATGTCATAATTTCCTTACCTTGTCTCGGAGCTGGGATTATACCAGACTTGCTGAATGGGAAGAGTAGCTTTCCCACTTTCTGGCTTCAACTTTGAAATAGCGTGTTAAAGGTTTAAGAGGAGGGTGGGAAGAGAGGGGTTGCAAAGGGGCATGAGGAAACCTTTGGGGGTGATATGTCCAGTATCTTGAATGTGGTGATGGTTGCAGGGAGGTATACGCATGCTAAAACACATCAAACTGTACACTTTAAAATTTTTTTTTTCAACGTTTTTATTTATTTTTGGGACAGAGACAGACAGAGCATGAACGGGGGAGGGGCAGAGAGAGAGGGAGACACAGATTCGGAAACAGGCTCCAGGCTCTGAGCCATCAGCCCAGAGCCTGACGCGGGGCTCGAACTCACAGACCGCGAGATCGTGACCTGGCTGAAGTCGGACGCTTAACCGACTGCGCCACCCAGGCGCCCTTCAAACTGTACACTTTAAATATGTGAAGTTTATTGTATGTCAATTATACCTCAGTAAGGCTGTAAAAAACATTAGGCCTGGGCTCTGTGCTTAGACCCTGAAATATGGCGGCGGTACATTGAATTCCCATGCCAAATGGACCCTGGGAGAGAACCGTGCTTTGCCCACTGCCATTAATGAGAAAACGCCAGAAAAGGCTTACCATAGGGAAAGTATTAAGATCATTAGACTGTCAAGAAGGACAGTCGAGAATATCTCCTGTGAAAAATGATAATTTCCAGTGGAACAATGTCTGGAAAGAGGCAGGATCTTTGTGTGCTCCTTCCCAGTATTTCAGACAGTACAAGATTCCTCAGGCTTAACGATTTCAAAGCTAGTTTGAAAGAGAAGTGTGTTACCTTCACACTGTTTCTTCAGCATGTACTGCTACAGTCGTCAGAATTACAGGTGCCACATCACAGTTAGCACTGGATCACAGTGACAATGGAAATGACTTTAGGAGGCCTATAGGTTGCTTGGACATGCAACCTGTTGGGACACATGGGGGTATAAATAGGGCTTTGCTTTAGCCTTCCTCGAGTTCCAGATGAATGTGTCAGCTCAGCCAATGTTCCTTTTATGAATTCTAAATGGATCTGAAACCACAATTTGACCTTCTTTAGGAAGCAACTACCAAAGCCAGCCTTAAATAATTTAAGAGGGGAAGGAAACTTGAAGCGCTAGACAAAAAGAACCCTATCTGATCTTCCCTGCAACTGCTGTAGGTGTTAGAAGAGATGAAGTTTACATTGCCTTTGACAGATAGAGGAACTTTTGTTACTGCTATAGAATAATTCTGCAACAGGAAGTATGAGCTCCTTCCAGAGAGACGGTGTGGTCAATGCGGTCCACACAGAAAACTGCTCCCAGTGTGGACCCAGGTGGTGCAGTCAGCTGAGTGACTGACTTCAGCTCAGGTCATGATCTTGTGGTTCATGAGTTCAAGCCCCGCATTGGGCTCACTGCTATCAGAGCAGAACCCGTTTCAGATTCTCTGTCCCCCTCTCTCTGCCCCTTCCCCTGCTTGCTCACTTTCTCTCTTAAAAATATTTTAAAAAAACAAAACTGCTTCCAAACACCAGCACAGTGGGTCAAGAAAGCAGACAGTTTAAACCACCCACACAGATTTCAGTCCCCAAGAGGGGTAAGTTTCTTAAACATGTTTTCCCAACAAAAATCAGCATGCATAGTCTTATAAAAAGGCCTAAAACTAGGAAAAAAGGGTTTTTAGAAAGTCTTCCCATTTTGTGCTCTCTTGCATCTTGGGCTTGCATAAAGTTGCTAGACAGAGCCCCTGGCCTTCCATTGGCAAAGGGTGACATTGCTCAGACAACCCTCGCAAGGATGTCTGCCTTCTGTGACTCTGGAAATGAATGGGGAAACTCCAGCGCTCACCTGGATCAGAAGAGGACCCCTGCAGATGCCCACACTTGCTGGCTGGCCCCTGGGGTAGAGTGCTTGATGGTGCCCTCCAAACCAGACCGATCATGGATTCTTCCCCAGAGGAGACGTGGCTGCTGCCTCCTCTGGGGGAAAATGCTCTATCCATCTGCCTTTAGTGAGGAACACTTGCTCAAGATAAACTGATCAAAATAAACCAGTAAAAGAAGACATATCAGGACACAGAGGTGCAAAATGACATGCCAGAAGCCTCCACCTGAAGCTAGCCTGCTTCCCCCAAGACCCCACGATAGAGCTACATGCACCAGAGGTAGAAGTTTTGTCTGAAGAGGAAATGACATGCCAGCGTTCATGAAGAGCAAAGACAGTCTGAAAAACCTACTAATGAAACAAACTCTCCAAGCCCCATCTGGAGAAACCGCATGAACTCTCACATTTACTATAGGAATTCTTTTCGGCCTGCGTCAGCTACGACCAGCTCATCACTGATCCTGAATCAGCTGTCACTGAGGTCCTACCAAGGACAATTGTCTGAAGTCAGGAAAATCCACACACAGAGGAGAACGGAAGTCCCAGGTCAATACCTGGGCCTGGTCTGTGGAAGAATGAACACAATTTGCGAAAGAGTTCCTCACACTTCGGTGCTCCTCAAAAAGCTCGCCGGTGGGCATGAGGCTATTGAAGGTTCCGCTGTGACCGCGGAGGTGGGGATACAGTGACGAAATACAGGAGACTGAGGGTAAGGCCAGCATTAAAGCCCAGCCGCGACCTCAGAGGACCTGACGATCCGTAAGAACTCCGTGTCTGTTCAGACTGCGTGGGTTTCTCTGGTATATTGATGCCTTCTCATTTGGGGGTGTGTTTGTTCCCCGAAGCGGTCTTCCTTTATCAGAAGATTCCCCTGAAAATTGTAAGGCTCGTATTATAATCTACTTCTCTAAGAGCTCCCAGAAGTAGGAGTACTAGCATACTCCCACCAGGTAGTTCTTTGCATCTTTAAAATTTTTTTAATTGTACCCTTTACAATTACACTTTATTTGGGAAACTGGAAAAAGGCTTATTTTGGCAAGACTTACCCATCGAACGGAGCCCCAAAGGATAAAATGTCAGGGATTAACAAGTTCTAGAAATAAGTCCACAAAAGCATTAGCTTCGAAGAAAATTTGAAGGTGTAACTAAATCATGGTTTCGCTACCTGCCACTATTGCCCTTTGAGGCCCGCTAGTTCTGTGTCGTTGGGGGACTCTTCTGGGCGTGGGAGGCTGGTTAGCAGCCTCCCTGGTCTTTACCCACTCGACGCCAGTAGCACGGCCCCTTCTCCCTCAGTTGTGACAACCAAAGTATTTCCAGACAAATGTCCCCTGTGGGACAAAACCGCCCCTTGCTGAGAATCACTGAAATGCATCTCTTTCATGCATGTGATATCTGTCTGGTGGTATAGTATTCTACTCATGTTCTATTTGTTTCCAGAGAGCAAAGAGCCATATAGATTACTTTCCTTGATGTCATTTTTCTTTTTTTTTTTTTTTTTTTTTTTTTTTTTTTTTTTTTTTTTTTTTTTTAAGAAAAAGCTTATAAGCTTTGGGAAAGAAAAAAGAAAAAAGAAATTTAGATCTGTTTTGCGTTCAGAGCCTCTACCATTAGGCTGGAAAATGTAAAAGCGGGCCATTCTGCCCTGTGTTTCTGGAAAGGCTCAGTATTTTTGCAAAGTATTTTTCACAAGAGGCTTTGTGAACAGCTGTAACTATGAAAGCCCCAGATACTGTTAAGAGGATGATGGGCAGGTCTTACGGATTAATCTGTGAAACTCGAAAGGAGAGATGTAATTACTATTTTAGAAAAATCACTTCACTGTCTGTGGAGACCTCATAGATGTAAGGACTGTCAGGCAGGGCACTGTACAAAACCATTAACAAACTTATTCCTTCCCTCCAGGAGCGTGGAGTCCCAAACGGATGAAATCATGCACCTATAGTCCGTCCTTCCATGTCCCGCCCTCCTCCTTTGCTGACCGGAAGGGTGTTCACCAATATTCACTTTGGACAGCCTGCTCTGCCTGAGGACAGAATTTGAGATTCTTCTTCCACTTCCACAAGGTCAGGGTCTGGGCTGCTGGGCAGGAGCAGTGGAATGACACAGCTTCTGTACTATCAAAGGCATTAAAAGGTGTTTTATCAGCTCTACATTAGTGGTTAGACCTTTCCCACTCCATCAGAGTAGATGATTGGGATTTGGTACTAGGCATGTCTAATGTTTCCTAACTGCTCTGTTACTGGTGGTAGGGAGAAAAAAACCCTGAATATTAAGCACCCACCTTGCCAATTATAATCTCTAATACAATGGCATCCACTTTGGCAATGCTGATATCCAGAACGAGGCCATTCTCTGAGGCGGTATGAAAATCCAGTGTTGATGTTTACATCCCACTGGACGTTGTAGCTTTTCTTGACTGGCACCTAACAAAGATAACCCTGAGATGAAGGAAATGTAGCTTTTGAAGAAGACACACCCAATCATTGGGGCTGAGCCAGACTAGAGCAAGAACTGACATATCTTTTCTCCTCTATTGCCAAGTAAGCATTTGGTACCCAGCAGAGGTTAGCATTTTTGACAAGTGCCAATCATCAATTCCAGGACAATATTATTCAAAGTGTGGTCTGCAGGGGTGCCTGGGTGGCTCAGTTGGGTAAGCATCCAATTCTTGGTTTTTGGCTCTGTTTGTGGGATCGAGCCCCACATCGGGCTCTGGGCTGACAGCTAGGAGTCTGCTTGGGATTCTCTCTCTTCCCCTCTCTCTTTGCCCTTCCCGACCCCCTCGCTCCCTCGCTCTCTCTCTCTTTCAACAGATAAAGTTAAAAACAACAACAAAGTCCAACACAATGTAGGCAGAAAGAACAGGAGGAAGCTTTAAGAAATGTGCATGTAATAATGTGATATATTTTCCCAAAGCCCCATGACATGATTGATGAACTCAACTCATCGAATAGGGTACAGAGCAGTTTGGGTGGAACTTGAGTGGTACATGCATGTGACAGGGGCACAGGAGGACCGCCTCATGCTTCACATCATTTTAAGATTTGTCAGCTATAATCCAACATTGTTGTTATAATCACTTTGACTTTTAATTACGACTTTTAATGTAAATACACACATATTTGGTAGCTGTACTAGGCAAGTAAATTTGTCTGACAAAGTTTTAAAACCATAATGTGATTTATGGAAAAGTACTAATGAGTCGTGAATGAAACGGATCCTTAAGTGACATTTACTTACCAAACAAATCCAAAACAAAAAAGAAGTCTTTGAGAAAGAGAGTTTTGAATCAAGAGGCTGGCAGAGCAGATGTTCCATATTACACTATAAGCATTAAAGCTTTTGGGGGGCTTCACAGAAAATTGCTCCTCAGGTTGCTAAAACTAAAAATCCACTGATAATTACTGGAAGATTAGCAAATGATTGCATCAGAGATGCTTGCTTAGAAGCATTAGGTGAAACACAGGGAAAAAATGGGGCTCAAGAATCACTTTCCAATCACATGTGTTCAGAAACCGGCTGTTAAGAATTAAGACCAACCATAAAATACATCATGTTGCCTGTTTTTCACTGCAACTCGGCAGCCACACAGATCTTGCTAAAATGAATTAATTTGAACACAATAGTAAAATGGTAGGATTCTCCCCGCCCCTCTCCCCATCCCCACCTAGCTTTATTGCTAAAAGCAACCAACTCTGTACTGAAGAAAACCATGAAGGATTACATTGTCAACAAATGTGCTTGGAGTTTAAGTTTTGAGTAGGAACGTGCTCTGATGGGACCCCTGTAATGAGAGAAAAGCACTTTGTAAGAGTTACCCAGATGGAGAGCTTGCAACTGACCATAATCAGTCTCGAACTCCCTTCATGGAGAAACGTCTTGCTATGAAAAATGTCAGCTTCACTAAAAAGTATGCTTAGTGATGCAACAAAAACTAATGTAAATTGAAGATTATTATAAAAGTGTAAAATTAAAATTATAAAAAATGTAATAATATGGAAGTTGAATCATAACAGGTACCACATGCTGAATTAGGATCTTTATGGAGCAAGAAAGTTGTGTTAAGAACACAAGGCAAATTCATGTCATAGGTTTCTACAAAATAAGAAGCTAATTTGGTTCTAATTTTTTAAAGTGTACATTAGATAGTCTCGCTTATTTGCTGCTATCTTCAGTATTTTAATGGTTTTTATACTTCCATGCAAAGAAGTATGGCAACATGTTTTGCCAGTAAATATCTGATTGAAAGGGAAAAATAAAAGCTTGGAAGAATATACCTTTACAGATTTTTGACATGTTCCATCACTTAATAATGACTGTCAGTGAAGTAGGTGATGAACTTAATATTGCCAGTCGGCAAAGTTACATCTTACAAGTTTGACAAAATGCTTTAAATTTTATCTTTTCATTACAAGAACAGGCATATGTAAGAAAATCATGGTTCTGCCTTTTACTGAAAGGTGATTTCAATAAAAGGTAGTTGAAATATAACTATGAAATAAATTGTGGAACTAGTTGATGGACTGAAAATGAGTTGTGAAAATTTTCATTTTGGATCTAAGTTAAAAATTAGTATCTTGAACTTGCTGAAATTAATCTCCTCTTACACTGCAATCAACATACCTCTATGAGATTAGTTTCTCTAATGAGCTTTCAAAAAAAATTTTTTTAATGTTTATTTTTGAGAGAGAGACAGTGTGTGAGTAGGGGAGGGATAGAGAGAGAGGGAGACACAGAACCTGAAGCAGGCTCCAGGCTCTGAGCTGTCAGCACAGAGCCCGATGCGAGGCTCGAACTCACAAACCATGAGATCATGACCTGAGCGGAAGTCAGATGCTTAGCCAACTGAGCCACCCAGGTGCCCCAAACCCAAATTAATTTTAGATAAATTAGCAAGAAGTAAACACATTTGTGGAATGAAAAAAATGCTACAAGCATAGTAGGGATTCTTTGTCACATTTGTATCCATACTTTCAATGAATGTGCACTGGTTTTAAAATTCTTTTTTTCCTGTTTTATTTATTCTTATGGTTAATAAAATGCAGGTTCATTCTGTGGTCTTTAATTCAGAAAACTGGGTACGTATTATGTCTGTTTTTTCATTTCATTTTTCTAGTAAATCATTTTTATAGTATTTTACGAAAAGATCAGTCCACTACAGATAGGAAATTTTTAAAAATTAAAACTGGTCATTATAGACAATTTGAGAGACAAATTGCTTAATATTACGTCTTCCCACAACTCTCCTCTATGCCCTTTTTAATCTAGGTCAAGTTTTCATCTCTTTGTTTCTAGGCACCTCCCCTCAATCTTTTCCCCCCCACCTCAAGGGATATTTACATGTTGACAGGACTCTTTTATAGGTAAAAAGGCTACTTAAGGCTGAAAAATTAAGCTATAATAACAAAAAGCCTGTAGGTAGAGTCGATTATTGGAATCAGCAAATCTCACTGTTGGAGTTAGAGGAAATATAGCTCAGTATCTTGCCTAAATTTGGAGTTGGTTCTATAAAATACTGATAACAACAAAACCCACAGGATTTAGGTTTTATAGTGCAGTGCTGAGAGAATAGACTCTGGGGTCAGTCTGAATACATGGAGGCCTGGATTCTGCTCCAACCTGTTGAAAAGCCTTGGGCAGATTACTTAACTTCTCTGATAGCAGCCATAGTCTCTTCATTTGTAAAACCAGAAACAGTTGATGTAAGGATGAAATGAGACTGCATGTGGAAAACCCCTTCATATTCTCAGCTGGGAGTCAGTAATTGTTAGCTCTTGTCACCCTTACTGTGCAAAGCATTTTCACAGCGGCCATCAAAGTCAACCTCCGCCACAGCTATGAGGTAGCAGGGAAAATATCCTTATCAACATTTCAGAAGTGAGGAAATGCAGCCTTGTAGAAATAAATGACCAACTCAAAACCAGAAGCAGAGACACTTCTCATTTCCAAAACCATGCTCTTTCCACCATGGGGCTCATCCTTCCCTGCCAGTGATGGCCTAATCCCAGGAATGGGGTGTTCTGTCAGCTCAATCCTTACCTCCCCAATCACGTCTAAATTGGTCTCCTCGCAGCTTCCATCTGTTGGGTCTGGCCGTGCCCTCTGAAGCAAGAGAATAAAAAACGTATAGGACACCTCGAATCCCAAAGAGAGCTTGTCTGCTCCCAACTCCACACTAAACGGCTGGAGCCTCCCGCCGGAGGGGCCACAGCCCAGGCTCCCCACCACCCTCAGCTGCCCCCATCTGCCCCCATCTGGAGACTGGGCGTCCTTTTGCTGCCCACAACCTCTCCCCAAGTTCCCGAGTCTCTGAGAAACTCCCACTAAGAGATCAGGGGGCCACATAAGCGGGGCCCGTTCCAGCGCTGCCTGCACACACTCCTGTCCCCTCTTGATCGCTTTATCTCTCTAAGGCCACTCTGGGTAAATAGAATTATTTTTACTCCGCTCTCCAATCTACTGAAAGAGAGATTATGAAAGGATGACAACTAGCTTCACCAGCAAGCCCGCTGATGCCTCAGCAATCACTTTCGACACCTCTTGGTGAAAAACCACTGTTCGAAGCTTCTCTCCCCCGCACCTCTCAGGACTCGCAGTGGTCTGGCCTCTCTAGGGAATAACCACGTTGAAGCAGACCTTGATTGTAGCTTGGGGTGGCTGCGGTTCCCTGCTTTCTACAGAATCGGACACAAGCTTGATATGAATGACCCTGACCCCAGGTGTGAGCCCCAAATTTCACAACCCTCCCAACCGCCGCGCCAACGGCCACCAACCGCTGCAGGTCGACCCGCCCACTCCGCTCAGCTGCCACGCCCACAGCCAGGCTGGCCCCGCCCCCGCCGGCACTGTTTCCCCTGCTCTCTGACCCCGCCCCTCTGGTGCATATAGGCCCCTCCCACTCCTTCACGCGCCAGGCCAACGGCCAGGCAGACTCCACCCCCGCCGGGCGCTATGGTTCCCAAGCCACGCTCCACGCCCAAGTCCCGCCCTAGCCCTCAGCTGGCGCTGCCTTTCTCCTCATGGCCGGTGTTGGCCAGCCTGCCCGCCATTAACAGCCGGTTGGGCCTGAGAGTCGACGCTTCCAGTGCCTGGGTGCGTCCTTGTCCTCGCCTCACCACGGTGGCCCAAACGGCGTGGCTCTGAAGGACTCTGCCCCGTGTTTTCCCGCTCTGTGTGCTTAAAGAGAGAACGAGTGTGCGGGCCGAGAGAACGCCGAATCTGCAGAACCCCGCGGGGCCGCATATTCCTTCAAGAGTCCGAGGAAGCCGACCCGAGGGACGGGCGCAGGGCTGGCTGTGGCGTGGTCGCTGCCGTCGCGCCCTCGGCCGGATCGTGTGACTCCTGAGACCCGAGACCCGGTGAGCAGGCGGACGGGTCGGGGGACGGTGGTACCCCGGCCGCCCCGGGGCCAGACGGTGGTTCCCGCCCGTGGGTACCGTTCCCGCCGAGGACCATTCAGGGCCTGGCAGTGCCCGGGCCTCGGTGCGGAGATCCCGGCGGGGCCGCGGCTGGTGGTGTGAGGGGCAGGCCGAGCTCCGGGAGAGGGGGAGGGGCTTGGGGTGAGGCTGGGCGTCCGTGATGAAACCCGCACCGAAGCGCAGCCGCTTCCCTGGCCGAGTGTGGGCCGCCCACTTCCTGCAAGAGCCACGGTGCTTGCGGTAGGAATGGTGTGTGTCGTCGAGTGCCTGGGGCAAGTGGGTGAGCCATCCACAGCAGCCGCCCCGGCGTCCACAGTCCCCCGCTGCCCAGTGGCGGAATCATTAGATGCGCGCGGTGGCCTAGGCCGGTTAACCTGGGACCCGTGGACATGGAAACTCCATGGAAGTAAGTTGGAAAAAGCGAGGTGGGAATTGGAGACAGAATTGCCAGAAAGAACTTTCATGTTTGTCGGGATGTGTGGTGCTTTCCCGCCCTCCTCATTTTAGAATCTCATTTGCACAATCTGCCCAGCAACCTTTTAGTCTACCCGCCCCTCGCAACTCCCGCCTCTTCCCCCCCCCACCCCCCCATGCCAGGCATAGTACTTCCTGGTCATCGTTCAGAAATCAACACTTAGCATCGCTTTCTCGAAGGAAGCCTACTCTGTCCCCCCAGAGTACCAGTTAGATCAGGTCCTCCTTTCATAGGCTTGTGTATGTAGCACCCATCTTAGTCCCTCTGGCTCCTGTGGCAAAAATGCCGTAGACTGGGTGGCTTATAAACAACAGAAAGTTACTTCTCATTTCTGGAGGCTGGAAGTCCAAGATGAAGTGCCGTCATGGTTAGTGATGTCCCTGTTCTAGGTGGCTGACTTCACCTTATGTCCTCGAATGGTTGAAGAAGGCAAGGGCCTACCTGCTCACTACTCCCTCTTCCCGGTTCCCCCTGGGGGGGGGGGGGCTTTTTTTTTTTTTTATAAGGACACTAGTCTCATTGATGAGGGCTCCACCATCATGACATAATTACCTCCCAAAGGCCCCCACCTCTTAATACCATCACTTTGGGTTAGCTTTAAGGGTATATGTTGGAGGGACACATTCTCTATTTTGTTTGTTAGTGCTCTTCAGAGTTTGTCATCATGATGTTTTGAGATTTCTTTTTAAAACTTGATGTCTCAATTATCCCACTCCCCACACACAGGAGAGAAAACTCCATGACAGTGGGGGCAAATAACCTGTTTTGCTTAAGGTGGAGTCCCTAACATCTAACCCAGTGGCTGGCATGGGGTAGTTGCTCATTAAATATTTATTGAATGAATGAATGTAGTCTTTAACACCTTGAAAGTATAATGATAATCTTGTGACTGCTTTTTTTTTTTCTTCTGTTGTTTATTATCTACATCTGATGATCCCGGAGAGCCATTTATGGACTAAACAAAACTCCCCCAGGAGTATCTTGATTAATGTTGCTTAAAGAAAACTTTGTCAGCTGTGATTAAGGAGCTAGGTTGATGTTTCCAAAGGTCTTAGAATAATGTTCAGGTTACTTATGCTCTCTGTTACTAGGTGTGAAACATTTCATGAAGGATTTTGACACTGAACCTTCCTTCTCTGTAAGATGGGAAAACTTACACTTTCCTGCTTGCTGCATGAAACCATTATGGTAAAATGACATTATATACATAAGAGCATTTTGAAAATTCTGGAACTCTGAACTCTAGAAATTTAAAGAAATATTTGGTTATTATTCTTTTTCAGTAATTGAACCAGGCCCCACTTCTCTACATTATGGTTTGTTTACAGGTTATGTTACTCATAGAACATGAAAGTGTTCTCCTTCCTTTTAAATTTTGGTTTTTTTTTTTTTTTTTTTTAAGTTTTTATTTACTTTGAGAGAGAGAGAGAACAGAGGAGGGGCAGAGAGAGTGAATCCCAAGCTCCTTCCACACTGTCAGCGCAGAGCCAGATGTGGGGCTCAAACTGAGAACCGTGAGATCATGACCAGGCCGAAAATCAAGAGTCAGATACTTAACCAACTGAATCACCCAGGTACCCGGGTTTCTTCTTAAAGGTACTTGCAGGGGCGCCTGGGTGGCGTAGTCGGTTAAGCGTCCGACTTCAGCCAGGTCACAATCTCGCGGTCCGGGAGTTCGAGCCCCACGTCGGGCTCTGGGCTGATGGCTCAGAGCCTGGAGCCTGTTTCCGATTCTGTGTCTCCCTCTCTCTCTGCCCCTCCCCCGTTCGTGCTCTGTCTCTCTCTGTCCCAAAAAAAAATAAACTAGTTAAAAAAAAAAAAAAAAAAAAAAGGTACTTGCAGATGCACCCAATCTTTTTATTGTCTGTGCCACAGCTAAGCTCTTAATGTTTTATTGGCATGCTATATTAGCATGCAGTGTAATGCGCATTTCCTCTTGTTAGTCACCCCTGGAAGGCAAAAACCAAAAACACAGGTATAAAATGTGCCATTCTTGACTAATTGACACATAATATTTATTTATTTATTTATTTATTTTTTCCAACGTTTTTTTATTTTTTATTTTTGGGACAGAGAGAGACAGAGCATGAACGGGGGAGGGGCAGAGAGAGAGGGAGACACAGAATCGGAAACAGGCTCCAGGCTCCCAGCCATCAGGCCAGAGCCTGACGCGGGGCTCGAACTCACGGACCGCGAGATCGTGACCTGGCTGAAGTCGGATGCTTAACCGACTGCACCACCCAGGCGCTCCTGACACATAATATTTAAAAGCAATTGCAACTTGAAAGTTTCTGCAGAATGCTGACCAATGTTCACCTGATAAAACCCATGAGAAACCTTTACAATCAGGCATAAGTGTTACATTTTTTTTCATTTACATGATATATATAGTACCTGTAGATTTTTCACAAGCCTTACTTCTCCTTTTTTTATACACATTTTCTTACTTTATAATCTTTTAAATGAATATGCGTATATTATATATAAGTATACAATCTCATGCTTAGTATGGTAATTAACAGCAAGGGAATAGGGAGAAGTATACAGATAGGAAAACCTCTATTGAAGTTTCACTCTGGCACCTACCAGCTGTATAAGTAAGTGCAAGTTAATTTCTATAAATGTCTCAGTCTGAAGCTGCAAGGGTGAAGGATGGCCAGGTAGAAAGTACTGATGACCCAGAGAAAAGGAGGGGGTGGGGTCTGGGATCTACATGGCTTACGCAAGTTAGGGCTGGGAGTTTGTTTGCACTGCCATAGAAGAGGTTAAATAGTGGTAAGAGAAAAAGTAAAAAAAAGGTCACTGTTGGCTAACCATTCAGCGGGTGGGAGAAACTGGAACCAATAGGAATTAGGCTAAGGTCTGGGTAAAAATAGCTGATGCTATTTTCCTAACAAAGACATCAGAACTTGTGGACAAGAACAAAGGAATTTATGTGGATAGTATTACTAAATATATAATTTGTGGTTGGAGAAAATACGGTACTTACAGTAGCTACAGTATGGGAATGATCATTGGGGTAGGCTTGAGGAGATGGCCTTGGTGGTCATCTTCTCCCTTGTCCTTGTACTAATAATACTTCTGCCATATGTTTGCCTTGAGCATCTGTTTCTTTTGAGCATTCACTTATGATTTTCTCATAGTTTTCTTTTCCCAGATACTCTTTAGCCTTTAAATATCCAGAACTTTCTTATACTTCTAAAGCCTGCCCTTCCATGTCTTTATCGTAATAAGACTTTTCTCCTTTAAGCCTGGACTGAGAAATTATATCATCCATGAAAGAACTGAAGTAAGAATTGATGAAGTGTGGAGATGACATCAGAGGTTCACAGTTTAGATGATTGTTTTGTTATATAGGGATATAACTTAAGAATAGCCATATGGAAGAGATGGATAGAGCAAGTGCCCTCTCCAGACATGCCACTCTCCCCTGCTCTCCACATGTTCACCAATCCAGAAACTCCCCAATTTAAATGTTAATCTCATCCAAGAACACCCTCATTTAAACACCCAGAGTAATAATTGGCCAAATATCTGGGCACACTGTAGCCCAGTCAAATTGACATGTAAAATTAACCATGAAAGCACCTGAATGTTGTCAAACACTTTCCTGTGTCAATTGAGATGGCGTTATTTTTTCCCTTCATTCGGTTAATGGGGTATGATATATTGATTGACTTTCATATGTTGATCCCTCCTTGCAATCCAGGAGTAAAGGCTACTTGATCAGGTTGTATAAACCTTTAATATATTGTTTAATCCAGTTTAAAGTTAGTATTTTGTTGAGGATTATTGTATCAATGTCGGTAAGGGTTATTGCTCTGTAATTTTCTTGTAGTATCTTTGGCTTTTATATCAGGGTAATGCTGGCCTCTTGGAATGAGTTAAGAAGTGTTACCGCCTCTTCTATTTTTTAACTGTGTGGTTGGTCAAAGAAATGGTAGAAACACAAAACAGGCACCGTGCCAGAACTAATGATTCCTCAAAGGAGTCATTTCCGATTTTTGCAATCACATATATTGTTATCAACAGCTTTTAATTAAGAATCACTGCTACAGGGAAATGACAAAGTTTAAGATGAACAGTAATGCAATTGATAGGGAGCTCTTTGCAATGCAAGAGATACCCTAAAGTAAACCATGATTAATTGCCAGTTTTATAAGATGCAATAATACAGAAGTAGAGGAGAAAATTAGAAGTGGGCTGGGAGGAATTCACAGAAGAAGAAGAATTTATAATTTCATATGCAGAGAGATAGCAGCTCTAAATTAATGCTGGAAAAGTAGAACAGGCAAGAATAATGAAGAGAGAATGAACCAAGACATATTCATGGACAGCAAAGAACCCATTTGGGCTGGACAGAGGGTCAGGAGGTAAGGAGTTTGAGATGGTTCTCTACAGGCTGTAGAGGGCTGGAGCTCTAGGAGGGTGGAACTTACCTCATAGAGCTGCCTGAGAGGCTAGAAGAGGCTAAGTGATATGGTCAAGGAGTATTTTTATCAGTGTGAGGTGGCTGCACAGAGCAGAGTCCTTGAGCTGAGAGAGATTGATGCCAAGGTCATAGGACAGATGAAGTCAGGAGGGCATGATTTGGTCTGTTTTTTCACTGCCCTAGTGCCAGTGCCTTTTGTATAGTTGGTGCTTGATATTTATTGAATGAATGAAAAAAGACATAAACTGCAATGTAAATAAAGATGAAAATGCAAAGAACATTTTGAAGGAAGGAACAGTAGTACTGAGTGACTGGTTGGAGAGGAGTATCAAGAGTATCTTAATATTTCAGGGGACCTGAGTGGCTCAGTCAGTTAAGTGTCCACCTTTGGCTCAGGTCATGATCTCACGGTTTGT